TTTTTATTAAAAAGACAAAACGGAATATTTTCTTTTACCTGAGAGATTCATTTTACTAGAAAATTTCATTTTATTTTTCAATTTCCTTTTTTTATTATTAATACTATTTTTGATTGGAAATCATAATATATATTTATGGGGTACAATGTGATGTTTTGATATATGTATGCAATGTGGAATGATTAATTAAGCTAATTAACATATCCTTCACCTCACCTACCTACAATATTTTATGGTGAGACATTCGAAATTTATTCTCTTGTTATTTTGAAATATACAATACATTGCTATTGACTTTAGCCTTTTTGTTGTTCAATAGATCTCGAAACTTATTCCTCCTGTCTACCTGGAACATTGTACCCTTTAATCAACAGCTCCCCATTCCCTTCCATCCCTGCCCCTCCCACACCCCCACGCCCCTGGCAACCACCATTCTACTGTCTACTTCTATGAGTTCAACTTCATTAGATTCCACATATAAATGAGATCATGTAGCATTTGTCTTTCTGTGTCTAGATTATTTCATTTAATATAGTGTCCTCCAAGTTTATCCATGTTGTCACAAATACAGGATATCCCCACTTTTAAAGGATGGAATAGTATTCCATTGTGTCTATAATCACATTTTCTTTATCCATTCATCCATTGATGGACACTTAAGTTGATACCATGTCTTGGATATTGTAAATAATGCTACAATAAACACGAGCATGCAGATATCCCTTCAACATACTGATTTCAGTTCCTTTGGATATATACCCACCAGTGGGATTGCTGGATCATATAGTAGCTCTATTTTTAGTTTTTTGAGGAACCTCCACACTGCAAAAACTGAATCTTTTTTTTGTTTCAAGGATTCATGTAGGAGAATCTCACATCCTTTTGCAACTACTGTCTATTCTTTCTTCCAAATTTCTCAAAAGGGGGCTCTGCACTTATTTGTTCTACTTTTTCATTTTCCATTTGCTCAATTCATTGCATTTTGGCTTCTGCCTCCATTTTCTGCTAATACAGATCAAATCATGGGGATCCATAACCTCCATGTTGCCAAATTCAAAGGATACCTTTTTTTTTTTTTTTTTTTTTTGCCTTGACCTTATTGGAAATATTTTCTGCATTTGATGTTGTTGACCACTTCTTCACCCTTGAAAATCTTTCCTCTCTTGGATTTCTCCCATGACATTACTCTTTCCTGATTCTTCTTTTACCCTTCTGCTAATTCTCAGGTTTCTTTTTGACTGTCTTTTTCTGTGCTGGCTCCTAAACACTGGCATTCCAGAATTCAGTTCTCAGTCCTTTTCTCTTCTCACTCTATACTCTTCTAGGTAGTTGTTGGAATAGTCCTGTTGAACCAGGCTTGGTTGCTCACCCCTGTAATCCCAGCACTTTGTGAGACCACAGTGGGAGGACTGCTTGAGTGCAGGAGTTCCTGACCTGCTGGGGCAACACAGTGAGACCTCCATCTCTTCATAACAAACAAACAAAAGAATAGTTCTGATGAAGAAGGGTATTGGATTGAGAAAATTTTTGCCAGGTCTTGAATTTGACTGAGGAATTCCACTTCATGTAGGATGTGGGAAGACTTTATTCCTTATACATGTTCCAAATGAAAACCACCATCAAGAAGAAAAGAGGTGTGTCAGATCAATCATAAGAAAAATTACAATACCAAAGCAGTATTTATATATAGTGGAGGATAACGCTGCCTTCATTCCAGAAGTGTCTTTACTTTTAATAGAGATGAAAGCTCTATACTTTCATATAGGTGACTTGGGTGCCAACTGTCTAGTAATGCTAATTAGCTAGACTACCAAACCAAATAGCATAAAGCCACTACTCTTGGTAAGTGACTCTAGATGGATTTGCTTATAATTCAATTTTTTCCTGATAGGTCCAAAGTAATAATTTTCAAAACTGCTGCCTCAGAGGAACCCACATTGGTCAGAACTATATGCAGCATCTGAAGTGGCTCACAGGCTATTCATTGGTTGCTCCCACACCATAGAAAGCATCAGAAGAGGGAAGAGATTATAGTAGAGAAAGGATGGGTGAAAGGCACAGGTTGATTCCCCATTGGTCAGGAGACTTTGAAGACCTCAGAGGAGATCAAGAATTCAGTAAGACTGCCTGTGGGTCAAATACATAAGGAAGAAGATGCCCATGTGAACTGCACATGGGCATCCCTAGCTAATTAGACTCCTCCCTTCAACCTCATCATGCAATCTGTGTCCTTCTTACCTGAAGAGATTTCCCTGAATACTGCAGCCTTCCTGCTCAATGAGATTGGGAAGACAAATATTTTGGCATGCTATCTGTAAACGGGTGATACTTCTGGATTTTTTTTTATTTTATCAAAAATAAATCTGGATATCATTTTTTTCTCTACAATTCCATAGCTAATCAACCAATTGATCACTGATTTCTGGGAATTCTACCTCTTGAATATTTATTAAACCTATGCAATTTTCTCCATCCCTAGTCCCACCACTAGAGTCCAAGCCATCATCATCTTTAACCTGGTCTCTTGCTTCCTAACTGGTCTACATTCCTTCAATTTTGCTTTCCTCCTGTCTATTCTTCCTCAGGAGCTGAAAGCGATCTTCTAAAATGCAAGTGTGAACATGCCCCTCTCCTGCTTCAAACCCTTCCATGATTTTCCATTGCCCTTAAAATAAAGGTCAAACCCTTAGCCCAGCATACAAGGCCCTCCTTGATCTGGTACTTTCCCACCTTCCTATTTCATCTTATGCCATTCTCCACTATCACACCTGCGTTAGGCTGTTCTTGTGTTGCTATACAGAAATACCTGAGACTGGGTAATTTATAAAGAAAAGAGGTTTAATCAGCTCACAGTTCTGCAGGTTATACAGGAAACATGGCACCAGCATCTGCTCGGCTTCCAGGGGAGTTTTTACTCATGGCAGAAAGCAAAGTGGGAACAGGCATCCCACATGGGCTGATCAGAAGCAACAGTGTGTGAGGGTAGAGGTGCCATACACTATTCATTTATTTGAGATGCCCAGACTGGAGTGCAGCGGTGTGATCTCAGTTCACTGTAGCCTCCGCCTCCTGGGTTAAAGTAATTCTCCTGCCTCAGCCTCCCAAGTAGCTGGGACTACAGGTGCCCACCACCATGCCTGGCTAATTTTTTTGTGTTTTTAGTAGAGATGGGGTTTCACCATGTTGACCAGGATGGTCTCGAACTCCTGACCTCAGTTGATCTGCCCTCCTTGGCCTCCCAAAGTTCTGGGATTACAGGCCTGAGCCACCGCGCCTGGACATGCCACACACTTTTAGATAACAGATCTCACAGGAACTCACTCATCATGGGGAAGACAGCACCAAGCCATGAGTGGTCTGCCCCTATGACCCGAACACCACCCACCAGGCCCCACCTCCAGCACTGGGGATTATAATTCAACATGAGATTTGATCAGGGGCAAATATCCAAACTATATCAACACCCATACTGACCTTCCTGTACTTCTCCTGCTACTTGGAATACTTTTCTCTTCTCCTGGCTGACCCTTCATCCCTTTCCCTCACTGAATTGTCACTTCCTATGATAGACTCCTAAACTTCCCAGGCCAAATTAAACCCACTCACATAGCTCCCTGTACATCTCCTTCAAGATACTCACCACATTCCTAATTACATGTTTAATGTCTCTTTCCCCTGTTAAATTTCAAGCTATATGAGAGACGGAACTATCTTGTTTCTTGACCGGTTGCTAGCACCAAGGACAGTACCTCACACATAGTAATTATTTGCTGGAAGAAAATGAATGAATGAAGACACCTTTGTTTTTCTGGGTAATTCTTCATCTTACAACAACTCAGGTCAGATGTCATCTCCTCCAGGTGAGATGCAGTCAAATCTGATTCGTCTTTGGATCCCTAGCGCCTGGCTTGGGACCTGATACACAGTTCATATATCATAGGCATTTGTCAAATCATTACAAACTATTGGCTGTGAGTTGATAATTGTTGAAACTGAACGATAGGTATATGAGGGTTCATTATATTGTTCTGTCTACTTTAGTATACATTGGAAATTTTCCAGAATAAAAAGTTAAAACATTTATATTTACCTCAAGTAAAATAAAAGTATATTCAAAGATTACTTTGAAGCTTCCGGCTTGGGAAGCCACCAGTAGTTGGTGTCATTCATTGGAATGGATGGAACGGAGCTGTGTCCAGTGTGGGATGTGTGTTGTGTCGTGTGTGTGTGTGTTGAAGAGGGTTCTTTTTCACCCCAGTGAAACTCCTTAGAAGACTAATGAAGGGGGATGAAACAATGAATTCAGGCTAGGTACGGTGTCTGACGCCTGTAAACTCAGCATTTTGGGAGGCCGAGGTGGGAGGATCGCTTGAGCACAGGAGTTCCAGACCAGCCTGGGGAACATAGTGAGACCCCCATCTCTACTAAAATACAAAAAGCCAGGCGCGGTGGCACATGCCTGTGGTCCAGGTACTCTGGGGGCTGAGGTGGGAGGATCACCTGAACCCTGGAGGTTGAGGCTTCAGAGAGCCATGATCTTGCCACTGGGTGATAGAGTGAGACCCTGCCTTGAAAGAAAGAAAAAGAACGAATTCAGATTTGGACATCTTTAGTTTTAGGCACCTTAGAGGGATTAGCATGTAGGGCTTTCTGGATGGTAATATAACCTCTCATTATCCTTGATGGCCTCTGGGTCACTGATCTGACCACTGGGATGTATCCCACTATCCAGGGAGGGCCTGTAGTAAATATAGTACCCCACCATCTTTCCTTACATCTTTACACTTTTCATTCACAATATCCCCTTCCTTGTGAATTTCTACGGGGGAGCAATGTATTCTTGATATTTTCCAGGCCTTGATATCAGCTTTATGTTCAGCAGCAGAGGTATTTCAGTGTCAAGAAACATCGGAGTTACAGTCCAAATTCATCACTAATTGTGACTGCGGGCAAATCGCTTTACCTGTCTTAATCTTAGCATCAGCCTCTGAAAAATGAGGATAATAATTCTGGTGATTTTACAGGGCTGATGTGAAGATTAATGCGCGTCAACGGTTTAACACCGAGACCCCCACGGCGTAAGTGGTCAATAAATACGAGCTATTATTATCAGCAACGCTGTGTCCTCAGAGCCTCCCCACTAGGACGTCGGGTAGCGGTGCAGCAGGAGCGGAGCAGGCTGCCTCCCCGGAATCCCTCCCGGCGCGGCAGCGGCCCCGCACCGCCACCGCCACCGCCATTCGGGCTCCAGCCCAGTCTGCGCGTCTCCCGGCGGGGGTGCGGGGCCAGGGCCCTGCGGGGCGCGCAGGGTGAGTGTGTGGAATCGTAGTGGATGGCGCCGCGCTAGGCGGGGGTCCCAGGAAATCGGCTGCAGGGATGTCTGCTGGAAGGGCTGGAACGCGGGGCTCGCCGAGGTCCTAGGGTCTCCTACAGGGTGAGGCCCCCAGGAAGCTGCGGCAAGTGCCGCGCCCGCCGAGCTCGCTCCCGCGCCCGCCCCAAGATGGCGCCCCTCCCCATCCCCCCGCGCGCGCCTCCGCCGCTCGGGGCGCGGCCCCGCGGCCCGCGCGCTCCTGGGCGGGGGATGTTGTGATGGAGAAGCCGCGGCGGAGCCCGAACCCCGCAGCCTGAGCCACCTTCGTCATCTGGGCCGGGGCCTCGCCGCGCAGGTAGGAGCTGTCCCTGCCCCGGCCCAGCCCGGGTCGCTGCGTCCCCATCCCCAGCGGCCGGCGGATCGTGCAGCCCCTACCCCGCGGCAGCCCGGGTCCCCCGGCCGGCCCCATCCCCCATCCCCCAACCCCCATCCCCCATCCCCGGGCTGCCGTCTCACCGCGCGCCTGCGGAGCGTCCCCTCATACCCACCATCGCAGGGTCCGCTCGGGCCCTCACACTGCCCCCTCCGCTGCCCTTTACCTCCTGCCCCTCAGGGTGACTAGGGGCGGGTATGGAGGATGAGAAACCAGGGGCCGTGGGGATTGGGGGAGGGGAGGCCCAGGGCCGGGAAGGGGACGTGGAGTGGAGTGGGCTGGCAGGCCGCGCCGATTCCAGCAGGGGTCCCGGGCCCTGGATCTGTCAAGCCGCATTCTGTTGCCCTCGGCGACCGAGGGGTGTGCCCTGGGGCGGCTGTGTCCACAGCTCAGCCAGGAGGCCTAGCACTGGCAGGAATACTCAGTAGGAGGAGTTTTCCCACTGCCAATTCCTAACCTGTTTTGTATCCGCCTGTGTATCTCTTGCATTCTGAGCCCCTCCAGCTATAGTCCCAGCTCTCTCCACCCTTCAGAGTCTACGCTTGCTGTCTTCCTTACTTCCCATTCATTCTTAAAATCACTCCACTCTGTGTCCCTGACACCTACTGAAACTGTCCAGGACAAGGTCACCGGAGTCCTCCTTGTGGAGAACTCCAGTAGACACTGTTATCTCATTTACCTTTGAGTAGTATTCGGTGGGATATGTCAACTCATTCTCATTGAAGCGTTTTCCTGCTTTCTGCCCTACAGCATTGTCTGCTCTTCTCAATCTCATTTGCTTCCTCTCCTACTCCCTTTAGATGCTGGTGAGGCTCTTGGCTCTGTCCCGAGCTGTCTTCTCTCATTCTCTGTTCTTTCTCCCCAGATATTTTATTCACTCCCAAAGCTTCAAATTTCATATATATGCTAACGATTCTCAAATTTATATATCCAGCCCAGACTTCTTTCCTGATATCCAGACTCATATATTCAGCTGCTCTCTTGACATCTCCTTGAAAGACAAACAGGAATTCCAAACCTATAGATTCCAAGCTAAATTATCTTCCCTGGTTTTCTCTGTACCCTACTTCCAAATCTGTTCTTTCTTCATATCTCAGAAATGGCTATTTGCCAATGTGGAGTCATGAGCAAGACTTGAGATTAACCCCTCTCTCACCCTCTGCATCTCATTTCACCAAGTTCTGTCACCACTGCCTGAATATTTCTCAAATTCATTCATTTCACTCTTTCCCCACTGCCACCAAAGTTAATCTGGGCCACCACCTTTTTTTTTTCCTTGACTACTTTAATAGCATACCCTCTTGCCTACCTCCCTTTAACTGTTCTCAACACAGCACCCAGAGTGATCCTTTAAAAAATGCTTCCACTCACTTATTCATGCAACACATATGATTTGGGCACCTAATATATGCCAGGCACTGTGTTACGTACGTCCTGAAGATACAACTGTGAGCAAAAGAGACTGAGTCCTTGGAGCTGACAATCTAGGAGAAAAATCAAATAAGAATAACATTATGAATGTAATATATACCATGAAGAAAAGCAGTATGGTGCCTTGAGAACGCACAAGAGCAGCAAATAAACTGGTCATGAGGATAAGGAGAGAGGGTCGAGGTCAGCTTCTCTGAGAATGTGACGTTTGAACTAAAATATAGTGGGTGAGTAGAAGTTGATTCAGCTTAGAGAGTAGGAGAAGAGGTCCCAGGCAGCATGGAAATCATGTGCAAACACCTTGTAGAAGGAAAACACATGACGTCTTTCAGGAATCAGAAGAAGGTTACTGAGGCTGCAGAGCAGAGTGACCAAAGCCAGGGGCAGGGAGGAGGAAGGCAGGCGCCAGACTGAGCAGGAAATTTAGGCCATTTAAGAATTTTGTCTTGGCTGGGTGCGGTGGCTCACGCCTGTAATCCCAGCACTTTGGGAGGCCAAGGCGGGCGGATCACAAGGTCAGGAGATCCAGACCACGGTGAAACCCCGTCTCTACTAAAAATACAAAAAATTAGCGGGGTGCGGTGGCGGGCGCCTATAGTCCCAGCTACTCAGGAGGCTGAGGCAGGAGAATGGCGTGAACCCGCGAGGCGGAGCTTGCAGTGAGCTGAGATCGTGCCACTGCACTCCAACCTGGGGGACAGAGCGAGACTCTGTCTCAAAAAAAGAATTTTGTCTTAAGGGCCAGGCACGATGGCTCACGCCTGTAATCCCAGCACTTTAGGAGGCCGGGGCGGGCGGATCACCTGAGGTCAGGTTCAAGACCAGCCTGGCCAACATGGCGAAACCCCATCTCTACTAAAAGTACACAAAAATTAGCTGGGCATAGTGGTGTGTGCCTGTAATCCCAGCTACTCAGGAGGCTGAGGCAGGAGAATCGCTTGAACCCGGGAGGCAGAGGTTGCAGTGAACTGAGATCTTGCCACTGCACTATAGCCTAGGTGACACAGCAGGATTCCACCTCAAAAAAAAAAAAAAAAGAAGAATTTTGTCTTAAGGTCTTTGTCCTTGGTTGTAGTGGATGTGGAGAGTTGATGCAGTTCAGAAATTTTTCTCAGAGAGGCAATCATCAGTACTTAGGGATGGACTGAACATAGCAAGTGCTGGAGAAGGACATGTCAAGATGTACCCCTACTTCAGATTCACAGAATAGGATGGATTGTATCATTCCATGAGCCAGGATCCTGAAAGAGGACCAGTTAGTGTGTGGGAGTGGGAAACACGAGTGGGTATATTAGCTTGAGACATCCAAGTGGAGATGTTGAGTAGAAAGTTTAATGTACTTGTCTGGAGCTCAGGTGAGGGGTCTGAAATGGCGATTTGACTTGGGAAATCATCAGTGTATAACTGAACCTGTGGGCATGAATGAATATTTATACTGATTATAGGATAAGAAAGAGGAAAGGGCATGAGAATAAGCCATAAGAAACTCCAGCATGTTATGGCCAATAGAGGAAGATGAGCCAGCAGAGGAGTCTAGGAACCCAGCAAACAATAACAAGAAGTGTAAAAGATGAGATGAGATGAGGAGTGCGGAGATGAGAGTGTGGAGGCCACGGATAGGGGCTGGATGAGAGATTCATGGGGTCAGATGCTGCTGGGAGGACAACTAAGATGAGGACTGTGTCTGTTGGATTGAATGACACAGGGGTCATGTTGACCTTGGTAGGAGCTGTTTCTGAGTCGTGTTGGGACTGGAAGCAGGTTTGGAAAGGGTTGAGGAGTGAGTGGGAGGTGAGGAAGTAGCAACAGTGAGTAGAGACAACTCTATCAGGAAGTTTGCCTGTATGAGGGAGGAAATAGCAGTGAGTGGCTCTGGAGGAACATCAGGTCAAGTTGGGAGATAGTGGATCCTATTGAGAAGGAGAGGTTGATTATATAGAGGAGAAAATAGATAAACAGTGGTATAAAATTCCTGGAAAGGTATCATAGGAAGAATCCAAATGATAGGTGAAGCAGTTGGTTTTGGGAAGGAAAGAAAGGGATAGGTGCTGAAGTTTGGTTAGGTTTTTATGTTTGAGGATGTTCCCCAGTTGGATGGCTTCCCTTTCCTCTGTGAATTAGGAGGGGAGATCATCCTCTGAGAGGGGTGGCCCACAGAGAGTTATGTCCTAGTCTCAGGCAGGCCTTCGCTGATGTCTTGGCTATAGCAAGCCCCAGGTTCCTGTAATGCCCTCCTCTTCCTCCTTCGTGATATTCAGTCAACAAATAGGGAATGCTGTGGGTGCCAGGCACTGTTCTAGATGTTGCCATTACACTGCGTTGTAACAAGTTGTTCAATGACTGTTTCCCCCTACACTGAGAACTCCTCCAGAGGAAGAACTATTTCTTTTTTATTCATCACTCTCCCCTGTGTCTAGCACAGTGCCTGGCATATGGTAAGCTGTCAGATTGAACAACTTCTGATTTGGAGCAAGACTTAACCCCAACCCCTGTGGTCTGATACCAGGATCTTCAGGCTTAGTGGCTACTTCTTTCAGTTCCTGCCCTGAGGCCCCTGCCCAGCTCCCTGCCTTGAGCCAGAACCCATTTGGCTCTTTGCATCCTTTGGTAACTCCAATGAGAGGGGAGAGATTAGGTTATGTTCCTTCTCTAAAAAAATTGGACTGAGGTCATCTTTTTGACCTCGAGCAGTGGGGTGTTGGTGACCACACCACCTCAGGCTAGATGCTAAAGCTTCAGCACTTAAACAGTTTCCCCGTTCCTCTTCTAATACTTCCTGGCCTGGTGACCAGATTGGCAGGGCTGCCCTGAAGTCAACTTGGCTCTTCACTGTTTCAGCCTTACAGCGCACGCACCCTTTTCAGATCGTAACTCCTAATGCCAAGGAGGTCAGTCTCTGCCTGACCTTTGAGAAACCTGGCTCTGTACACCACTGCTTCAGAGAAGAGTTTGCCATCCTTAAGGTCCTCCGAGCATGGCAGAAGTCTCCTACTTCCTGAAACCCATGGAGATGCCACTCTTGAACAGTGTCTGAGCCAAGATGTTGGTTTAAGCTACCTGCCTCACTCCCTTTTCCTAAATCTCAGCCCTCACCTCTCCGGGATTCCTGTCCCATCTTACTTCCCTCTCAGGGACCCTTTGGCATTATCTGACACCCTCCCAAACGCTCCCTTTGCTCCTCTCCAGCCCATTGGGCCCCACAGCCTTTCTAGGTATTTATTCCCAGCCAGTTCTGAGCTTCCTAGATCCTCTCAGCCCCTGTGTCTGTCCCATTCATCCCTTCGTTCCTTCTGCGCGACAGCCCAGTCTGTGGCGGCACACAGCACACGCTCTTTGATAATGGGAATGTGAAATAGAATAAGACACCGTCTCAGATATTCTGATCGAATGTGGTCCTGGATGTTGTGAGACACGAAGGAGAGAATAGTCACTTGATGGTGGGGAGAGAACAGGAAAGACTGCTTAGGAGCTGTGACTGCTGAGGTTAGCTTTGAAATACAAGCAGAGATTTTCACAAGGGGAGACAGAATTCCAGGCCGAGGGAGCAGTATAAACAAAGACCCAGGGCTTTAAGAGTGTGCGACATGTTCCAGAATCTGCCACACTGCTTGTGGCTGGAGTATAAGGTATAAAGGAGGTGGGAGGTGGGGAGAGGTCTGACAGGTTATAGAGGTTGGCTCAAGGGGGCTCTTGGGTGTTCTGCTAACGAGTGCAGACATTATCCGAAAGGCAGTGGTGAGCCCTCTAATTTTCTGAACCAGGGAGTGACACAATCTGGTTTCCATTTTTGGAAGATTACTGTGGTTCTGGGAGGAGGCAGAGCTGTCTATTTTTTTCTTCATTTATTCCAGTGGCCATGAGTTTTCTCATTGGCCAGGAGGAGTCACACTGAGCAGATCAACAGCTACACGTGAGGCAGACACATGCACATAAACCTTTTTCATTTTACAGATGTATGGGCAGCATCGCACTAGGGTCTGAGGAACTAGAGACATAGAAAGGTGAGCTGTGGGGCTGGGCTTAGTGTCTCAAGCCTGTAATCCTAGCACTTTGGGAGACTGAGGCGGGTGGATCACTTGAGGTCAGGAGTTCGAGACCAGCCTGGCCAACATGGTGAAACCCTATCTCTACTAAAAAAAAAAAAAAAAAAAATACAGAAATTAGCTGGGCGTGGTGGTGGGCACCTGTAATCCCAGCTACCCAGGAGGCTGAGGCAGGAGAATCACTTGAACCCAGGAGGCAGAGGTTGCAGTGAGCTAAGACCATGCCATTGCACTCCAGCCTGGGCGCACTGCGCCTGGAGAGATGGGCAAGCCTTGCTCAGGCAGCTGCAGCACCTCTGCTCAGTGCTGAGGACACAGAGGGAAGGGAGGTAGTGGGGAGTCGGGGAAAGAAAGAACTCCTTAGTGGAGGAACAGAGAGATAGGGAACTCTCAGATAAGACATCAAGGAGAAAGGTCTGTACAGTGGGAATTAGAAAGAGCGCAGTGCAGTGTTTGTTGGGACAGTCAGTGAGGGAGAATTGTGTGTTGGTGGAAGGGTCGGGTAGGAAGAGAGAATCAGTGAGGCCATCGAAGGAGGAGAGAGTAATGTGGTAGGGGCTGTCTGAAGGACGGCTTGCATGGAGGGCTCAGGATGAGAGAGAAGTGGGCAGTGGTTGGTTAGGGAGAAATAACTGAAATCGGGGGCCGGTAAGGTTCCAGGGAAAGAGCACTTTCTTGTGGGGGTCCGGGAAGGAGAGCAGCAGAGCAGCTGGAAGGTCAGGGAGAGTGGGGAGGATGGAATGGGGCCAAGGGTGGGTCCCTGGGTGGCAGGCTGGAAGGATAGTTGGGACTGAAACGGTTGCGAGAAGCTGAGCCACAAAGGGCTGTGAGGAGGCAGAGGGAGGTGTCGGGAGGGGAGCTGGCCTTGTAGAACAGGGCGTCCACTTCCCTGAAAGGCAGGTGGAGTTTGTGTGGGGCACCATGAGGCTCAGTAACATAACCAAAGTGTTTTCTGACACTGGCAGAGGAGAGGCCAAAGCGAAGCCTGGAGGAAATGGGGACTGATTCATACATTCATTCAACAAATATTAATAGAGGTCCTGCTCTGTGCCAAGACTACACTAGGCACTAGGCATACTGTATTTAACCAAAAAGGCAAAATCCTCACCAACACGGAGATTATAAATTGTAGTCTTGAGGAGACAATCATTAGACAAAGTAAATAACAAATTGGCTTGTCAGATGGTGACAGGCGCTGGGGAAGAGTTAGGGATTGCTGAGGAGGGACTGAGGTAGCCTGTGGTTTTAAAATGGGTGTTCAGGGAAGGCTTCACTGAGGCTGTGACATTTGGTCAAAGATCTGAAAGGCTGGGCCGGGCGCAGTGGTGCACGCGTGTAATCCCAGCACTTTGGGAGGCCGAGGTGGGCAGATCACGAGGTCAGAGTTTGAGATCAGCCTGACCAACATGGTGAAACCCCATCTCTACTGAAAATACAAAATTAGCTGGGCGTTGTGGTCGGCACCTGTAATCACAGCTACTCAGGAGGCTGAGGCAGGAGAATCACTTGAACCCGGGAGGCAGAGGTTGCAGTGAGCTGAGATCCTGCCATTGCACTCCAGCCTGGGTGACAAAAGCAAGACTCCATCTCAAAAACAAAAACAAACAAACAAAAACCCCAAAAAGCAAAGATCTGAAAGGCTGAAGGGCCCAGGGGAAAGGCTCCCATAGTGATCCAGGACAGGGCATTATAAGGGCTGGCAGAGGGACCGGTGCCCAAGGGGAGCTACTTCATGGAAATTGTCACCAAGATGTAGCTTCATCTGGCCAGCGGAGCCGTGAATTGCAACCGAGCACCCTCCCTCTGTGACCTGCCTTCCTGTGCCATGCCCTGTAGGGCTGGTTCTGCAGCTTATTTCCTCCTGTCCTCACAGTCCCTAGTATGGGGTGGGCTTGGGGGCTGGTTGAGCTGAGTGACTTATGGGAATAGGAACACAGCCGGAGGAGCTTACAGTGGTGGGGCTTGGGATGGAAGTGCAGCAGGAGAGGGGCAGTCAGTGATCAGTGTCCAAAACACACGAGCCAGTCCCACTCTAGTGGTGTTCCTGGCACAGTAAGCCCCGGGTGGATGAGCTGGGGGGTGGGGAGGCACAGAGAGCCATTGTGTGGAGGCCCTGCTGGTGGGATCGAGGGCGGAGCAGGCACCAGCTGTGCCATCCCAGAAAGCTCAGGGCAGGGGATATAGGGATGGGTTGAGCCTCAGACCTGGGCCTGGCCTGTGATGGGGACGATAGTGCTGGGACAGAAGATGAGCCCAGTCATTCTCATAGGATAGAGAGCCATGGGTGCTAGCCTGCTTAGTGCAGGGAGATGAGGAGGCACAGGGCGTAGCCCTGGGGCAGAAGCAGTGATGCTGCTGTTCTGGACCAGAGGCTCAACAGCATCTCCCTTCCCCACCCCACAGGAGCTGCCAAGGCCATGTCTGTTCCATCATCACTGAGCCAGTCGGCCATTAATGCCAACAGCCACGGAGGCCCCACACTGAGCCTACCCCTGCCTCTGCACGCTGCCCATAACCAGCTACTCAACGCCAAGCTGCAGGCCACAGCTGTGGGACCCAAGGACCTGCGTAGCGCCATGGGGGAGGGTGGTGGGCCTGAACCAGGCCCTGCCAATGCCAAGTGGCTAAAAGAGGGCCAGAACCAACTCCGGCGGGCCGCCACGGCCCACCGTGACCAGAACCGCAATGTGACCTTGACCTTGGCGGAGGAGGCCAGCCAGGAGCCTGAGATGGCACCCTTGGGCCCCAAAGGCCTGATACACCTGTACTCTGAGCTGGAGCTCTCAGCCCACAACGCGGCCAACCGAGGCCTACGAGGACCTGGCCTGATCATCAGCACTCAAGAGCAGGGGCCAGATGAGGGAGAGGAGAAGGCGGCAGGGGAGGCTGAGGAGGAGGAGGAGGAGGATGATGATGAAGAGGAGGAGGAGGACTTATCTTCTCCCCCAGGGCTGCCTGAGACCCTGGAGAATGTGGAGGCCCCTCCCAGGCCCCAAGCCCTTACAGATGGCCCCCGGGAACACAGCAAGAGTGCCAGCCTGCTGTTTGGCATGCGGAACAGTGCAGCCAGTGACGAGGACTCAAGCTGGGCTACCTTATCCCAGGGCAGCCCCTCCTATGGCTCCCCAGAGGACACAGGTACCTTGTGGAGCTTGACATGGGCATGTGGGAGGGTGTGAGGGCAGAGGTTAGGCCTCTCATATAGAGGCCAGTGCCAGCCTGATGTGAGCTGAAAGCCCATGTCCTGAGGCCACAGCAGGCCATGTCCAGGCTTTCTCGTTCAGAGAGTGCTTGGACATTCTGGTAGATCTGACCATCATGCATGCCTGGATGGATAGATCTGTTCATTATGCATGCCACCATGGTTGGTAAGTGGACTAGTTTGTTTACTGGGCACTGACTAGGTAACTGGCCCTCTACTCAGCATTTTCAGGCTTTATCCTCACAGTAAAGCTGTGAGGTAAATACTATGATTATCCCCATATTACAGATAACAAAAAAGAGACCCAGAGAGGTTTAGTAGCTTTCTCAAGACCACAGACAGGCTGAGATTACAATAGAGCTGAGATCTAGACCAGGTCTGAGTCCAGGTCTGAGCTCTTGGCCCTGTGTTACACTGCCACCACAGCACAGAGCACAGTGCACTTAGGTGCACTTGGGACAGTCTGCCCCGTTTTAACAGGTCACGTCTGTGGGGAGCTGCTGTCAGGAGTAGGATATTGACTAAAAGTTAGAAAAGAAAACGCTTTGGGTAGGGGGAGGAGAGTAGATACTAGGATTCCAGGGCTTAATAATTAAATATGTCCCATTTAAATCAGCTGAGTCTCCACATTTTCTAATGTCATGTAGAGAATACAGGAAAAGCTGAGGAACAAAGGATGGAGATAATGGGCTATAGTCACAACCCTGGAGTTCTGTAGATGGGGGTCTAAGAAAGATTAGGAAAGATCCCCATCCTCACCAGGCAGCGAACACCATACCCATACCCCAAACTGTGCAATCTTTGTAGAGAACATGCAGTTCAAATGAGCCTAGGGCTGCACACCATCCCCGTTCGAAAAACTCATTCTGGACATTTTCAAACATATACAAAAGTAGAGAGAAAAGAATAATGAGCCTGATCTACCCATGACCCAGTTTTACCAATTATCAATACATAACTAATCTTGCTACCTACATGCTGTCTTCCATTCCTAGGCCCAGCGTAGGTTATTCTGAAGTAAATACTTTTATTTATAAATGTTTACAGCTGGGTGCAGTGGCTCACACCTGTAACCCAGCATATTGGAAGGCTAAAATGGTCAGATTGCTTAAGCCCAAGAGTTCAGGAACAGCCTGGGCAACATGGCAAAACCCCGCCTCTATAAAAAATACAAAGAAGTTAGCTGGGAGTGGTGGCATCAGCAGCTGTGGTCTCAGCTCCTCAGGTGACTGACCTGAGAGGATCACCCGAGCCCGAGAAAGTCGAGGCTACAGTGAGCCATGGTTGTGCCACTGCACTCCAGCCTGGATGGCAGAGACCCTTTTTCAACAACAACAACAAAGTTTACTTTTGCATTTCTGAAAGATAAAACTCTTAAGAAAAACCCACCATAATATCAATGTACCTACAGAAATTTAATAATAATCTCTTAGTATCATTAAATATCCAGTTGATATTTATGTTTTTAAAAAGGCTGGATTGAGGCTGGGCACAGTGGCTCACACCTGTAATCCCAGCACTTTGGAAGGCTCAGGTGGGCGGATTGCTTGAGCCCAGGAGTTCACAACCAGCCTGGCCAACATGGTGAAACCCCATCTCTACTAAAAATACAAAATTAGCTGGGCATGGTGGCAGGCGCCTGTAATCCCAGCTACTCGGGAGGCTGAGGCAGGAGAGTCACTTGAACATGGGAGGCGGAGGTCATGGTGAGCCGAGATTGAGCCATTACACTCCAGCCTGGGCAATAAGAGTGAGACTCCATCTCAAAAAAAAAAAAAAAAAAAAAAAAAAAGTAGAGACAGTGTCTCACTATGTTGCCCAGGCTGGTTATGAGCTCCTGTTCTCAAACAATCCTCCTACCTTGGCTTCCCAAAGCACGAGGCTTACAGGCGTGAGCCACCATGTCTGGCCTGATCCATCTCTTAAAGTTTCGTTTGATCAAGTTCCCCCTGTCTATTTGTTTTTTGCTTGCAGTTTTGCTTTTGTTTTTTAACTGAAGAATCATGTTGTTTGTCCTGGGTTTTCTATGGTCTGGATTTTTCAGACTCTCTCCTGTGGTGGTATTTACCATGCTCCTCTTCCCCTGGATTTCCTGTAAATTGGTAGTTAGTTCTAGAGCCTTGATCAGATTCAGATTTGAGCATTTTTGTGTTTTGCTTTTGCAAGCATATTTCATAGGTGGTATTTTAAATACTTCTACCAAAGGCAAAGTCTGATTGCCTCTCTTTTCATGATGTTAGTGGCCTTTGGCAGTCATTGCCTCAACTCCTTTTAAAAGGAACAGCCCCTCCTGCACTCCAGCTGATTACTTGTGGTATTGGGGTGAGGAAAAATGTAGTCTCAATGCAGCCAGTTAAAGGGAAACTGAAAACTAGATATTGGTGTAAAATAGCCCAATTTCTAAATGTTAACGACAAATTCTATTTTTTAAAAAGCACGGTGCAGGCCACACACAATCTATCTGAGGCTTGCATCAGTCTGCAGGTTGTAGGTTGCAAGTTTGCAAGACTAGGAGGTATGAGTCAGTGACCAGATAGAGGCCTAGTTGCTCAGTTGCCCCTGGGATGGTCACTGTAGTGGCTGCAACTATGAATAACCTATGAAGCTTCTAGGAATAGGAGGATAGTATTGCTGAAGAGCTGGGATGGGTTTGCTGGGCAGTGACCTCAGCAAGGATGTTGGAGGGGTGAGAGGATTCTCAAGGATCTTGCACTGGTGGAGACTTTGTGAATTGAGGATAGAGGTGGGGGCCAGCCCAGGAAAGGGGCCAAGTCACTGATTACTCTTTTATGACTGTGTTGCTATGACCAAGAGGGCTGCAGAGAAGGTTTGTGCTTCTGCAGAAATGAGGCTAGAATTGAGCAAAAATTATTTTCTCCTTCCTATTGTAGGATATTCATAGAGCTATGGATTGAATGCATAAATGCATGAATTCATGAATTAAATGAATGATAAATGAATAAACTTTACTACCTGTGTTGAATTCATACTCTGCTCCAGGCCTTGTCCTAAATGCTGGAAATGTATACTGTGAGGCAAAGATGTTTTTGCCCTCCTGGCCTTCACAGCCTGGTGAGGAGACAAAGAAAGAAACAGGAGGTTATGATCAGTGCGATGAGCTCTCTGGGGCTGGGGAAGTCCAGGAGGGGCCCCTGACCCTGCCTGTGAGAGTGGTGGGGGAGAGGGCAATGGGTCAGTTTTAAAGGGACCTGTATACTGATGTCTGAAGGAGAGGTAGGTGATAGCCAGGTGAAAATCGAGAGAAAGGGAGGTGGGCTGGGAGAGGACAAGGGGCGTGTCCCAAGCCAAGAGAGAGAAGGGGAGTGGCCAGAGGTAAGGCTGAGAGGCAGACAGGGGTTCATGACAACACATAAAACCTGGGGAGGAATTTGGACTTTATCCTGAGGGCAGTGCAAAACAATTAAGAGGATTAAGTTGGAAAATTACTTGATTAGTTTAGCATCTCAGAAGAATCATTTGGGCTGTAGTGTGCAGCTGAGATTGGAGGAGACCAGACAGGAAGAGAAAGACCAGTTAATGATGTTTTTGCAATGATCCAGGTAAAAAAATGCTAGTAGCCTGGGCTATGTTAGTTATGTGGGGTGGAGAGAAGGGGAGAGCATTAAGTCAATCACTGATTCCTGAGCAAGTGAGTACACCTGGCTTTGCCACTAAAGGCATTTGTGGATGAATGAATGAATGAAGGAAGGAATGATATGTGAACATTTAATATATTTTATGTGTAAGTGTCTGCATGAATCGATGCAGGAGTGAAGGTGTACGTTCTGGAATAAATGCATGTATGTGAAAGCAAAGGCCTGGGTGGGCTGTGCTTGAAGGGAGATGTGCCAAGCTCCAGAAGGGCCTCCCAGATGGCCAAGCGGGGAGAAGCTGCCCTTCCAGGACAGATCGGAAGGATGAAGCTCTCTGAAGCAGGAAGGTACAGGCTGTCAGGGATGGCAGATGGATTGGTGTGTGTCACTCAGTCAGGAGATGGTGAACTGGTCCCCAGATTCCAGAAGTGTCCAGCCCTCCTGAAGCAGACTGTGGCTGTGGAGGGCATGGAGGCCTTAGGTGTGGTGTTTCTGGAAGGTTTTAGCAGGAGAGTCCCGAGGCAATGGAGGGTCTCTGGGGAACAGCAGGTATTCCCTGAGCCTCAGTTAAGTTTCAGGTGCCTATTGAAAACCTTATTCCATAGGGTGTCAGTTAGGGGGAAGTGGGGGCGGGGAGAGGCGGTGATGGCTGCCTAGAAGGTGGATGGGCAAGAGCCACTCCTCTTTGGGTGTCTGTGGGCCCACGTCATTTGGAAGCTGAGGATGGTGAAGCACCCTGCCTGAATAACTCATCAGGTGTGCAGCCACCTTGGAGTAACCACGCCCACTTCCAGCCCTGCTGTGTCTGGTTGCCCAGCAGCTGGGGTCTTGGGACTGCCTGTCCCTTAGTGCTGCCTCTTGGACCAGTCAGGATTCCTGGTTTCCCTGGTAACGGGAAGCACGTCAGCAGTCTGGGCGCTCCCAGCCGGTCCTGGTGCTGCGGTTGCCGAGGAGACGCTGCAGCCTAGCTGGGCCCTGGCAGGTGAGGGGTGGGGGGTGGTGCTGGGAAGCCCCAAGCCCAGCCTCAAGCTTGCTGGGGCTCAGGAGCTCAAAGCCCACCCTTGGGTTCAAACGGCTGTGCAGGTTCTGGACAGGGGCAGGATCCCCGAAGGCCTTGAAACCACACCCTATTTATGCTGAGAGCTATAGGCTCTGCAGGGCCCCAGGCAGCTGGGGTATTCCTGAGGGGCCGAGTCTCCTGGTATCCCTAAGACTGGGCTTGGCTTAGGCACTGAGATAACCACTGGAGGGTGGGATGGAGGTTCAGGATTGGGGGAGGGGAGCCAGGGTGAGGAAGAAGAGGTGTGAGCAGGAGGGGCTGGGGTCTCATGAACCTCCCTTTCTCCTCCCTTCCCCACCCCCTCAAGGAGATTCCCTAGCATGGTGGTCCTGGCCCCTCCCTAGCAAGCTTCAAGCGGGGGAGGATCTTGCCTGGCAGACGCTCTGCCCTGGTGAGAAGGGGGCGGGATGAGTTTTTCTCTGCAGCCCAGCACCAGGCTGTGAGCCCCAGCTGGCTGGGCTGGAGGGGCTTTGAGGAGGGAGGGTGGAGGCGGGAGGGGCCGGGAATGAGCGCCACGTTCTCCCAGGACTTTTTCCTGGCCATCATCCTGCAGGACAGCAGCCCAGGTGAGGGGCAGCACGAGGTTGGGCATCATGTGGGGTGGGGCTGACAGGGAAAGAAGAGTTAGAGGACGCATGAGCGGGTTACAGGGATGGAGTGGTGTGGCTCTGTCGGCAGACAAGGGTGTATGACACAGATGCGAGGTATGTGTGTATGTGCATGACATGTTTGCTTGCAACTGTGTGCAGCAAGGGTCAGGAAGTGAGCGTCTGTGGTGTCTGCACACATTTGGCAGGGTTTGATGTATGCCGTGTGTCTGAGTGTGGGTCCACCTGTATGTATGGTACCCACACATGTGTTAGGTGCCACTGTGGTATGGTATCTGCACACCTGTGTGGCAGGGGCTCATATGTTTAGCTGCATGTGCATGCCTCTGTGGTGTCTGCATAAGTGTATGGCTAAGGTTGGTGTGTATGTTTGCCCATGCACGTACATGTGCACCTGTGTGTGATACCTGCCATCTGTGCTGGCATTTTCTGTGTTGCATACCCTGGTGTTTGTGGCTGCACAGGTGTGTGGTAGGGCTTGTATGTGTTGTGTGTCTGTGTGTACATGTATGTGTGCAGGAGCTAAAAAGTGTTCCCCTTTGTGTTCACTGAGATAGAGATATGTATGAAAGGAGGTTAATTGGGGTCACCCAACCTTCCTTGCTCCGTTCCTTCCTCCTTCCCTGCCTTCCTCCTTTCCACAGTGTGGCCACATTAGCCACCAACAGGGCCCAGGAGGAGACCTGAGCCATGTCCCCTACTGGTGGCCCCACATGTGGTGACTCCAGACTATAGGCTCTAGGCAGAAGCAGGAATTGTGTTGTGGTATAGCTTTTCCTCCACCCCTTCTCAACCATGGGGTCTCAGAGGGGACCGGGCATAGGCACCAACTGTCTGCTCTTTAGGAAGGCTGACCCTCACCAAGCCTCCCACCTGGCAGATTCCTTCTGGAACCCTAACGCCTTCGAGACGGATTCCGACCTGCCGGCTGGATGGATGAGGGTCCAGGACACCTCAGGGACCTATTACTGGCACATCCCAACAGGGACCACCCAATGGGAACCCCCCGGCCGGGCCTCCCCCTCACAAGGGAGCAGCCCCCAAGAGGAGTCCCAGGTGAGGCTCACAGGCCTGTTGGTTTTGGGCCAGAGGAGGGAGTATGTGCTGCTGGAGTAGGATAGGACACTCGCTCACTACTCCCTTCCCTCCTCCTAGCTCACCTGGACAGGTTTTGCTCACGGAGAAGGCTTTGAGGATGGAGAGTTTTGGAAGGTGAGTAAGGGGACCTGCTTTACCATGGGATAGCTGGAGGAGGTGCATCACTTTGATCCTGATTCCTCAATCCCCTTCCCAAGGATGAACCCAGTGATGAGGCCCCAATGGAGCTGGGACTGAAGGAACCTGAGGAGGGGACATTGACCTTCCCAGCTCAGAGCCTCAGGTGAGCTGCCAGATGCAGTGGGTTGGCAGTGGGATGGATCTGTCTGGAAGGGGCCTTGGGACAGCTCCATTTATGGGGGCCCTGTGCCAAGTATTACCATCTGCCTCCAGCCCAGAGCCATTGCCCCAAGAGGAGGAGAAGCTACCCCCACGGAATACCAACCCAGGGATAAAGGTTTGTTCAAGACTGACACCCATTCTGAGACCAGGGCCCTCTTGTGTGTAGGACAGCCCCTAATATTGTGCTCTGAGGGGTCTCAGTGCAGTCCCCCAGGTCCTGAGTTAGGAGTTCTTCCAGCCTCAGCAAAGAGCCCTGTGAGTGAGCTGGAGGCACTTCCAATTTTTAAATCAACCAGCCCAACAGACAGGTTGGGGGCCCTCGTAGTCTTGGTTCAGGTGCTTTTTTGTACTAGCCAGGGTCTCATATGACATCTCCCTCACCCTCACCACATCCCCCTCTCCCTAACCACATCCTGTTTGGGGAGCTTCTCTGTCTTAGTTCAGAACACCCTGCCTCCTGCCATACTCTGTATTCAGGAACTCTGCTGTGTCCTGTGCTGAGGGCTCTCCAGTTTTGACTCCGATCCTCTGCCTCCTGCCCCTCTTCTGTGTCTGGCAGTGTTTCGCCGTGCGATCCCTAGGCTGGGTAGAGATGACCGAGGAGGAGCTGGCCCCTGGACGCAGCAGTGTGGCAGTCAACAATTGCATCCGTCAGCTCTCTTACCACAAAAACAACCTGCATGACCCCATGTCTGGGGGCTGGGGGGAAGTAAGGACCTGAGCCAGCAGGGGTGGTACTATGAGAGAGTGTGAAGGGAATTATGAGAGATGGGAGGTCTGACCTGCCCACAAGCAGGCTGGGAAAGGGGCATATTGGCCCTCCGTAAGTGGCAGCCCTGTGGGATGGATGAGTGACCCCAGGCTAGGACCTTGCGAGATGGTAGCCTAACAACAGTGGAGTCGATGTGAGAGATGACACGTGACCTCCACTAGAGTGAGGCCTGCAGGGCGGGTGGTCTGACACCAAAGCAGGGGCCCCAGAGCTGTGGCTAACATCCCCTGAGCTGCAGGATCAGAGATCAGCTACCATCCCGGCTGGAGTCCCACTGAGTGCCTGCTTCTGGGCCTGCAGGGAAAGGATCTGCTACTACAGCTGGAGGACGAGACGCTAAAGCTAGTGGAGCCACAGAGCCAGGCACTGCTGCACGCCCAACCCATCATCAGCATCCGTGTGTGGGGCGTTGGGCGGGACAGTGGAAGGTGGGAACAGGGCCTGGGATTCCAGGGTGGGAGTTCATCCAGCGTCAGAGTCCTCCTCTCTAACTCTGTTCTTTGCCTCTCTTGTGCTGCTGGACCCAGAGAGAGGTACTATGCCTATTTTCCCCCTCCTGCACCTGGACCAGATGCCTGGAAGCACCCAAGCTCCCCTCTTCTGCCTTGCCCCTTCCAACCTGCTATGCTCCACCATTACCTTCCACCTCAGCATGCTTGCCTGTCTACCCTCCCTCCAGAAGACAGCACCTATGGGGAACCAGCTGTGGGCAGAAGCCCTGGAGGAGCTGTGACGGGCAGGGAGGACATGGGTGGGGTGGGGACCAGGCTTGGCACTGGATGGTACTGGGAGACACTGAGGTGCCCCTCCCCCAACAGGGACTTTGCCTACGTAGCTCGTGATAAGCTGACCCAGATGCTCAAGTGCCACGTGTTTCGCTGTGAGGCACCCGCCAAGAACATCGCCACCAGCCTGCATGAGATCTGCTCTAAGGCACGGCCCCCTCCACTCCCTGGACTAGCTGCCACCTTCACTCTACAAGGGTGTGGGTGGGGTTACTGAGTAGGGTGGGGGGGCCCCAGGGCAATGAGGCTCTAATAGATTCTCCCTGGCTCCTCGCCTCCCTTCCTTCCTCAGATCATGGCCGAACGGCGTAATGCCCGCTGCTTGGTGAATGGACTCTCCCTGGACCACTCTAAACTTGTGGATGTCCCTTTCCAAGGTCAGTGTCAAAACCCCTCCAGGTCCAGATCAGATTTGTTGGCAAAGGTGGGCGACTCAAGGAAAGGCATGAGCTCCTGGACAGCGGTGATAGAAAAATGAACACATGAAGACTGAATACTCCAATAAGTGGAGGGACTCCGGTTAAAGGGAGGCAAGGGACGAGATGGAAGTAGGACCTCGGCTGGGCAAGTGTCTAGCTTATGCCCTGCTGGTGGGGACTGGGGGTGAGCAAGGTCTCCCACCATGATCAACCTTCTGTTCTTTCCCATAGTGGAATTCCCAGCGCCTAAGAATGAGTTGGTCCAGAAGTTCCAAGTCTATTACCTGGGGAATGTACCTGTTGCTAAACCTGTTGGTATGTGTGTCCTTCTGTACCCAGGGGCTGCTACCTTGATCCTAAAGCTCTGCCCCTACCCTCTGCCTTCCAATACTTCTTCTACCAGACCTTCCTCATGCTTCATGTCTCCCTACCCTTTAAAATGCATCCCACCTCCCTGTACTTCTGTCCTAGCTATATTCACTGTCCTGCTTATAGCAGCAGTCAGCATGCCTTCGCTGAGCATCAGCCACGTGAGTGGTGCTGAACCAGGCACAGAGGGAAACCCCACTCCTTCATCCCATGGAAAAGCTTTGGTGGGATTGGGAGGCAGCTATTAGATGACTGGAAACACCAGACAGCAGCCTGTAGCTGGGTTAAGTGTTACAGCACGAGCTGTGGGCTGGAAGTATCAGGAGAAGGAAACAGTGAGCATAATTGTCACATATGTTATTGTTGCAAATAATTTTTTTTTTTTTTAAAGACAAGTCTTGCTCTGTCCCCCAGGCTGGAGTGCAGTGGCATGATCTCAGCTCACTGCAACCTCCGCCTCCCGGGTTCAAGCAATTCTCCTGCCTCAGCCTCCTGAGTAGCTGGAATTACAGGCTCCCGCCACCAGGCCTGGTTAATTTTTGTATGTTTAGTGGAGATAGGGTTTCACTGTGTTGGCCAGGGCTGGTCTTGAACTCCTGACCTCAAGTGATCCGCCCACCTCGGCTTCTGAGAGTGCTGGGATTACAGACTTGAGCCACTGTGCCTGGCCTGATCTGGTTAACTCTTATATTTCAGTGCTGTCATAGTATCTGCTATTTATTTGTTCATTCACTTAACAAATACCTTTGAAGCTTACTATGTGGCAGGCCCTGGACTAGGCGCTGGGAGAACAGTGGCCACAGTCCCATTTTCATAGAGGTTATAGAAGGTTGTGGTAGAAAAAAACCAGGAATTAATAAAATAATCACACAAATTGTGAGTTATTCATTGAGAGAAAGTAGCAAGATAGAACAGAGGAATTTCATCTAGTCTGGGGTCATAAAAGACTTCCCTGTGAAAGTGACGTTTGAACTGAAATCCAAAAAATGAATAGAAGTGAATGCAGTCAAGTGGAATGGAGGTGGGGGTAGGATGGGGGAAGATCAGGATCTACAGTGGGTGGCACTTTGGCACTTCCAAGGTACTGAAAGAAAGCCAATGCAAGATGAGGCTGAGAGCCGGGCAGTGGCCAGGCTGCCAGGTCAGGGATCTCAGGGATTATGTTAATGATTTTTTCTTCATCCTAAGAGCAGCAAGGAGTTATTGAAGTCTCCAAGAGTGCACTTGCCTTAATCAGATTTGAATTTTGAAAGCTCACTTTGGCTATTTCATGGAGGGGACTGTTAGGCGGGTGGAGGTGGATGTGAGCAGCTCAGTTAGGAGGCCGTTGCAGTAGTCCTGGCCAATAATGAGGGTATCTTGGACAACAGTGGAGCTGAGGAGGAGTTCGTGGATTCCAGAGCTGTTTAGACAGGTATAGTCAACAGGCCTCGGTGATTGGTTCAGTGTGGGTGAGGGACAGAGGCATTAAGGGTGACTGCTAGGTTCCTGGCTGTTGGACCTTCTGGATAGTGGATTCTTTCTTTCAAGGTGGCAGATGTTAGAAGAGGCCAATTTGAGTGTGGAGATTGTAAGCTAACGTTTGGACATGCTGAGTTTGAGGTGCCTTTGGGGAAACTGAGAGGCAAAGTCAGGTTGGCAGCTAGATTCACAGATCTGGAGCTGAGAGGAGAGGTCTGGGCTGGAGATAGAAGTTTTGGCATTATTGGGTTGTAGAGGTAATCAAAGCCATGGATGTAGAGTAGCTTGACCCTGGAAAGTCGGCATCCTGAAGTGAGAAGGGAAATGAGGCTAGTCATAGCCTTGAGGCCCTCCAACATTCAGTGGATGGGTGGAGGATGAAACTGCCAATGATAGTGACAACAGGAGAGAGGCAGGAAGAAGAAAAGAGACTACTTGAAGAAGTGGTGGCGTATCATGTCAAAAGACACATAGGAGGAACTCAACAGATTTTTGATGAATGAATTTAAAAAATGAATTAATGAATAAATGAGACTAGCTTCAGATTACATGGCCAGGAAAGCTAGACCTAGGAGTCAAACCCCGGTCATCTTTAATTCTCTGCACTTTCCCTCATACCGTGCTGACTTTCATGTCCAAAATCTTACATTGAAAGAGGGGACCCTTCTTAGAAAAGGTGGGGATTGAACTGAGGTTTTGAAGGAAGGCTTGGATTTGCAGAGTGGAGTGGATATTTCATTTGGATTCAGTGGCACTGCCAAAGACTTGGAGCTAGAGTTGAGAAAAGCATGCTGACCCTTATGCCTTTGCTTTCCTCCTTCTCATCCTCAACTTCTAAACCCTTGTTGGCTCTTCTGGTTGTTACCCCCATTCCCATATGTGCTTCTTTGCATCTACCACTTGACTCAGGTCCTCCCTATGCCAGATCAACTGCCTGTGACCCTTGACTGCTCCATCAGCTCCACACTTTTGGACAAGTGGCCTCTAAACTTACTTCCTGCTTTATCTTATGCTCCTTTTTAACCTCCTTTTTTAACATTAGCCCCTCCAGAAGCTGTAGTATTCGTTCATTAATCATTCATTCATTCAACAAGTGGTAATGAGTGCCTGATGTGTGTCAGGCACTATTCTAGCTTCTTGCCATACATTGATGAACAAAAGTGACAAAGATCCCTGCTTTTATTTAGCTTACATTCTAGCAAGGAGAGACAGACAATAAAATGAGTAAACCATGGAGTATATTAGAAGGCAACAACTGATACAAAAAAAAAAATAAAAGAAAAAAGAAAAGCACACCAGGATAAGGGGGATTGCATGTGGGGCTGGAGGTCAAGGTCACGGTGTAGGTTTTAGTCCTGAGTTGCTATCAAATCTGACCGCCTTCTTCCATACCTTGCTCCACTGCTTTCAGTGCTTCCCTGCCAAACCTCCTAAGACTCTGAGGCCGGGCTCCACTTCCCACAGCCCCATCTACTCAGCAGTTTGACTTTGATGTCCCTTTCACACAACTGAACTTTGAGATTTCCAGTTGCCCTGGCCTAAATGTCATAAACATCACACCCCTCTGCCTGGCTTTTGAAGCGCTCTGCAATATGACCTGGCCCATCCACTTCTGTGACACTTGGTTTTACCAGTTTGGGTGCATTTGCTCATGTTGCCTTGAGAGTGACTTGCTCATGCATCTGGAATTTCTTCAGCAGATAAGCGCTGTGTTAGAATTGGGGACAGAGGGATTAATTAAATTCCATTTCTGTTCTTGAGATGGCCAAAGCCCAGTGTGGAAAAAAGTTTGCCAGCAGTTACAAGATGTTGTGGTAAGAGTTGTCTCAGAGTTGTCTTCTCCCTGCCCTGCAGCAGGGATGGCTTCCTAGAGAACTCCTAGTCGGAGCCCTGAAGGATGACAGTCTGGAGTTTCTCAGTCCAGCGGGGAAAGGGCAGTCAAGACAGAGGCTTTTCCCTCAGTTGCAGTCTGTGTCCCTCAAGGACATTCTCTTCTCTTGTTTTGTATTCCCCATCTGCCTTACAGGCCATTTGCCAAGATTGGTTGTTAATAATAATGCTACACAAATCATCTGAAGCTGAGGGAGCAGTAAAATATGAGGCTTGACAGCTCTGGAGAGGCCAGTTTTTGGAAGACTCGCATGCTTTTGGGAGCAGTTTGGCCTTGCTCCAGCCAGAAGTAAGATGAGCAAGGCCAAGATGGGAGAAGACATTCAAGGAAGACATTTGTCCTCTGCCCACAAAGAGTCCACATGGTCCGCTCCTAGTGGGAGCTGAGAGGCACTAAAAGGGGCAGAGGGCCTGGGACTGGACCACAGAGGCATATGCCTTTTGCACTGGCATTGTGCAGAGACAGTAGATCACATGGGCAGCTTATAAGTGTGGGGACTAGGACTGATGCCTTCACCACACCATGTGCTCCTGCCTTGGTGCTTTGCTGAGTGCAAGCAAAAGTGGGATCCATGAGGGGAAATGTTTAACAGCAGTTTGAGGTGGAGGAGAACATGCATTATAAGGGAAACCTGATTGATCTAAAAGTCAGGAACCTTGGGTTCCTTGGCCCTTGAGCACATTATAGACATTCTTGAGTAGAACCTAAGATCTTGAAAGCCCTTGTAGTTCTGAAAACTAGTAATATAGAGAAGAGGTAGGAGAAAGGCATGGCTAAGAACCCAGGCTCTGGAATCAGACTGCCTGAGCTCAGGTCTCCATTCCTTGATGTGACCTAAGGCATGTTGCCTATCTCTACTGTTTCCTTATTTGTAAAATGGAAATCTGTTGTGAAGTTGTTGTGCGGGCACAAATGAGGTAATACACTGTGATGACTTAGCACAGTGTGATACAGAGTAATCACTCCTCAAATAGATTATCTTAAAAAATAATTGGGTCTTGGGAGAGGACTGGCCTGTAGGGGCTGACTTGGGAGTTATTGTGGTGTGAAGCAATGTGGTGTCTGAGTGTGATGAGCGCTGAGAGAGCACAATTTGGGGAAGTCAGAACTTTGGGAGGTCAGTCGGTTCACAAGTGTGGAGGAATAGGCAGAGCCAGTGAAAATAACCAGCCTAGGATTCAAGATTTTAAAAAGTAGGAAAATGTCCAGTTACTGAGGCCAGGGGACCCAGGGAAGGGATACTTGGACAGCATTGTCCAAGATGTAGGTTGGCAAAGTGGGGATGGGGCAAAGGCCCTGGGTTTGACTGGGTGGAGCTAGAGTTCTAGGGTAGAGCTGGGGTATCCTCTCTCTACCGTCAATGGTGTCTTGTGTCCATATGTTCTAGGGGTAGATGTGATTAATGGGGCCCTCGAGTCAGTCCTGTCCTCCAGCAGCCGTGAGCAGTGGACCCCAAGTCATGTCAGTGTGGCTCCTGCTACCCTCACCATCTTGCACCAGCAGGTAAAGAGCTGGGGTAGAAGTCGTGGCTTTGCCTTGCCGTGGAGGGGAGACGGGGTGAAGGGAAGAGCTGCTAAGATGGATGTGGAACACAGTGTGGGGTGGTGTTCCTTTTTAACTGAGTTCCTTCCATGCAGACAGAGGCAGTGCTGGGAGAGTGTCGGGTGCGTTTCCTCTCCTTCCTGGCCGTGGGCAGAGATGTCCACACATTTGCATTCATCATGGCTGCCGGCCCAGCCTCCTTCTGCTGCCACATGTTTTGGTGCGAGCCCAATGCTGCTAGCCTCTCAGAGGCTGTGCAGGCTGCGTGCATGGTAAGCCGGTAGGGTGGTGTGGTGGTGGCGTGGCACCATGTGAGGCAGGCTGGAGAGTGACTGCCCCACTTGCCTCCGCAGCTTCGCTACCAGAAGTGTCTGGATGCCCGTTCCCAGGCCTCCACTTCCTGCCTCCCAGCACCCCCTGCTGAGTCCGTGGCACGGCGTGTAGGGTGGACTGTCCGCAGGGGTGTTCAGTCGCTGTGGGGCTCCCTGAAGCCCAAACGGCTGGGGACCCATACCCCATGAAGAAGCCTCTGCCTTCCCTCCACCTGCTTGTGTCGGGCCCCAGGGAACTACAGGGTGTGGGTCAGGTAGGGGTCTAGAGGCTATTCCTAGGCCTTAGGCCTCCCAAATATGCCCCTCCCCAGTAGCTAGGGTTCCCTGCCTAGGAGCTGGGGAGGGAGAGATCTAATCCCTTCAAGGAAGTCATAACACTGGTGTGGTAACAAGAGGAGCAGGAAGCAAGGCCAGCCCTGGCTCTCCATCCCCATGTGTTTCAGGTGGAACAGGAGGAACTGGCCCAGGCCAGGCCTCATACTCCTGGGACCCAGCAGGGGCAGGAGGAAGGGACTGGTCCAGGCATGGGTCCCTTCCCTTTGCTCCGTGGGCACCTCTACTGTATTGATATCACTAATAAAGTCTGTCTGCACTGCTGTGTGCCTTCTATGCCTGTACCACACCATCAACCCCATTACCCTATGCCTCAGTTACGATCTTGCCCCAAAGATCTCCTTGCCCTGCCTGCTTGAAGGAAGAAATTGGTACAGTCACACAGGGGTCTAGAGTCCAAGTCTCTTATCTTTATTTTAACAGACTGGCGGGATCAGGTCGCAGCGGCAGTACAGGGTTCCTGGCTGGGCAGCACAGGCCTGGGGCAACAGCTCCTGTCTTGTCTGCCAGGGCGGTGTCAACTTAGGCCTCTATTCCACGGCTGTGAAAGGACAGCAGCCTCAAGGCAGTTTAGCTCCTGGGCACAGGCAGCCAAACCCCCTCCCATATCCAGCTAAACCAGCTCCAAGAAAGGATAAGGTCCTGTTTCCCCGGCATCCTTGGGGCCCAGGGACTGGTTCTTCCACTGGATGACCTTGCTTGGTTGAACCACAGCAGCATTTGGGCTTTTTCATCCTTTCCTACATCAAGAACTTTCCCAAATGTGGGCCCTGGGGCCCTAGCAAAACAGTGGCCTTGGCCACAGGCTCTGGGCCTCTGGGAGGCTCCCATCTAGCATCAGGTGGCGGCACAGAGCAGGGCTGTCAGCACGGGCAGAGAGCTGGGCACAAAGAGTAGCCAGACGGCAGGGCGTGCCACAGGGCTCTGAGGGCGGGTGGCCCTTATGGTAGAGAAACCAGAAGGTCTGGAAGAGTTGCATGTCGCCCCGCATGCGATATACCAGGTTGTGCCAAGCGGTAGGCAGTGTGTTGGGCAGCCCATAGGTTTCTCGAGCCTTGTAGAGAAGCTGCCAGTGCGGTATAGCTCCCGGTGTGTTAGCCTGGGTCAGATTCAGGATGTAAGTCTCATGGTCCAAGACTATGTGAGAGCTCCCGGAGTAGTTTCCATCTATTTGGTACACACGGTAACCTGCAAGGAAGCGGGACTGACTGGAGGGGAAAGGAGCAAGGGCAACTCCAGGGAGGGGCCACACATCCTGCCCATGCTTTGCAGGCTCTGGCTCCAACCTCCTTCCTCTATCCCACCAACTCCAGGATAAAGGAGGCTCCCTTCTGCCTCACTCACCAGGATTAAGGCCGATGTAGGTAGTTGCACTGGGTGCTAGGAAGGCTACAGCCAGCGGCCGGCTCAGAGTCTCTTCATCATAGAAGACCTCAAATTCATCCACATGAGTGTGGCCAAAGAACTGAGCAGCCAGGGTGTTCTCATACCTGGCCAGAAAATACTACATTCAGAAGATTCCAGGGAGGGGTAGGAAGAGATCTGGGGAGATAGGATGCCCTTTCTCCAACCTGTTCTAGTGAGGAGTCTCCCCACTCCATGGGACAACAGGGATGGTGAGATGCTCAAGGGAATCTTCAGCCTTCAGACACTCACCCTGTCCCTACTCCCACCCTCATCTCCCTCCTACCTGGCTACAATTCGGTAATAATTCCAGCTCCAGCTCTTCAGACAGTGCCCTGGGGGAATGTGGCCAATTATATGCACCTAGCAGGGAGAGTTAAGGATGGTAATCAGGGCATCCAGGGGTCCAGGCAGCCCTGGCTAGAGAGGGGGACTGAATGAAGGCTTTCAACAGTGACCATGAGCTGAACCCCCAGGGAACACTTGTTGGGAATGCCAGGAAAATCAGACTTCTCTGCCCAGAGGTGCTCCAGCTCGACAGAAGCCTGCTTGTCCCCCAGCACCACTGTGTTCCCACCACTCCCCCTCACTTTGTCTCCTCGATCCTCAGCAGCCTGAAGCTCCCCCACCAGCCACTGGAGCTGTCCTGCGGGATCCGTGGAGTTGATCAAGAGCCAGAAGTTCTCACGGGAACAAAAATTCATATTGAGAGAGATGAGGCGGAGACCGGGGTATGGGGAAAGAGCATAGAACCCCCCAATTCTGAAACAAAGTAAACATGAGAGGTCAACACTTGTTCCAATCCTGTTCCTCCTGTGCTGGGCATTTGGGTGGAGGGTAAAAGCATACATGACATCTTCCCTACCTGCAAAGAGCTCACAGTCTAGCTGGAGACCAAACAGTTCTAATTATTGGGTCTGTGTGACACAAAAGAAAGGCTCCGAGGGCAGAGGACTCCAGGAGTATGGTGGAGGGATAAGAGTGAGCTAGAATGGGAAGCAAGGGCCACACAGAGGGAAGATGACATGAGATGGATAAGGTGAGAAAAATTGCAGCAGTTAAAAAAGGGGAAATCAATTCCAGAGGGCCAACATGAGCAAAAACGCAGCTGAGGCATGGAGAGGTTATGCTGCCAGACCTTTGAAGGAGGGTGGCTAGAGATAAGAGTAGAAAGGGAGGGCTGGAAGGCTGGGTGCGGTGGTTCATGCCTGTAATCCCAGCACTTTGGGAGGCTGAGGTGGGCAGATCACGAGGTCAGGAGATCACAACCATCCTGGCCAACATGGTGAAACCCCATCTACTAAAAATACGAAAATTAGGGCGTGGTGGCATGCACCTGTAGTCTCAGGTACTTGGGAGGCTGAGGCAGGAGAATTGCTTGAACCTGGGAGGTGGAGGCTGTAGTGAGTTGAGATCGTGCCACTGCACTCCAGTGTGGGTGACAGAGCAAGACTCCATCCCTGCTCCCCCCCCAAAAAAAGGAGGGCCGGGAGCAGTAGCTGACGTCTGTAGTCCCAGCACTTTGGGAGGCCGAGGCGGGAGGATTGCTTGAGGTTAGGTGTTTGAGACCAGCCTGGGCAACATAGCAAGATCTTGTCTCTACAAAAACTAAACTATAAAAAAAAAAAAAAAATAGCCTGGTGTGGCAAAAGAGTAGAAAGGGAAGGTGGAGTCAGATTAGGGGAGCTGAGTGAAGAGCACTAAGGACTCATGCTAGAGCAATCAGAGACAATGCCCCAGGTTCCCTTCTCCCTTCACTTTCATTCACCTTTTTTTTCCCTTCCTGGGTTTCCATGGATGATAAGTACCTGAGGGTGCGCAGGGCTTCAGCAGGCAGCCAGGGCTCCCAAGCCTTGGCCATCGCTTCGTAGAGCCAGCGGGAGGAGTGGTTGCCCTCAATGAAGGGGGGAGGGAAGCTATTGACGGGTGTGCTCTCGTGGTTGCCCACAGCAGGGTACACTGGCACTGGCCCCAGGAACTTCCTCACAAGTGCTGTGACAGTGGTCAGGGCCCGCAGCTGGTCCTGACGAGTCTGGTGCCAGACATCATGTGCAGGGATGTCTCCTGTCCAGTACACCATATCAAAAGGGCCGGCTGGGCCCAGCCCACTCAACAGGCTTTCCAGGGTCCTCAGGGGCAGGTCACACTTGCTGTATTCGCCCCAGTATCCAGCACCTGGCCGGGACGCGGGCGGCAGGCCAGAACCCTGGCGGCAACACAGTGGGTCGGCACAGTCAGGGTCCATGCCCTCCAGGTAGTCATGATCCCAGTGCAGGTCAGTGAGGAAGAGGACGCGGCTGACAGGGGCACCTGGGGCTGGGGGGCTAGGGGGTTTGGGGGGCGGCTTCGGCACAGTAGGCAAAGAGATGTTCCAAGATGAGAAAATGTCCCAGTGCCCACAGGTGGAGCCCAGGAGCAGGCCGCAGGCCTCAGATGGGCTCAGCACTGAGCGTCTCCACACCTCCACCATGTCATCCTCAAAGAGCTGGACAATGGATTGGCACACGGCAGGTGGTGCTATCTTCAGCAGATTGCACAGCTTGATGGCCATGGAACCCACGCGAGCCACATTGGGTTCCTTCTGCAGTGGGAGGAGCACATGGTGAGAAATCAGAGGCAGAGCAGAGGAACCAGGCCAACCCCTGGCCAACACCCCTTGGGCTTCCATTTCCAAACTGGGGCTGGGCAGGACTCAGTGCACCATGGTGAAGAAAGCTCAGTGCACACCTTTGCCTTCCAGATATTACCCTCTAACTCAGGCAGCACCAGGCCATCACTTCCTCTTTAGCTCAGCAGCCTGTGGCATGAGGCCTTTGCTTGACAAGCTGACTTTCTCAGGCACTGTCTGCATTATTTTCTTACTTCACAAAGGTCACAATGGGGTGGTGGTGGCATGTAGCCATAGGTGTCCCCAAAGGGGAGCAAACTCAGTGACGGATTGTAGATGCCACCCTCTCCATCAGGGATGCATTCTGACCCCAGGGCACCAGCATCAGCCCCAGCCCCCAGCCCCAGCACTCCCTTCGGCCTCCTCCACTGCAACCCCTTCAGCGCTCACCTTCAGCCCAAGGTTGATGGCGGTGAATAGACCTTTGCAGACTGGGCAGGTGAGGTTCCCCCACCCAAAGACATCTCGGAGACGGGGCACTATGCGATGTAACCTGGCAGGATGGCCTTGGGGAGGAAGAGGATGAGCCTCTGCCGGAGCCCAGAGAACCAGAGAGTCAGACAGAGCCAGAGCCAGAGCCAGCGCCAGCACCAGTACCAGGCCCATCCAAAGGAGTCGGGGGGCTCCGAAGGTCCTGTCTTGTCCCTGCTCCCGGCCGGACCTGGGGCGACTCTGGCGCGGTGATGCTCCGTAGCGGGGCATTGTCAGGCTTCCTACACGGGGCTAGTTCGTTTGTCCCGTCCCCACCGGCCTGGGCCCTAGCTGGCCCTCAGGGCCCCAGGCGGCGCTGAGGACACCCGATTACCCTTCTCTGTAGTCGGCTGACTGCTTCGCGGCCGGCCGCAAAGCAGCTCCGCCCCTTCCTCTTCCTCTGATCTCCAACAGCTGATCTCCCGGCGGCGGGCAGCTGTCAACGCTGCGGAGGCGGAGCGGGCTGGGCGCTCCCGGGACCGCCCCGATTCCGCCCCCTCTCCACGCCCCCCGCCCTGCCCCGGGGCGCAAGGGCGGTGGGGGTGGGGACTCTCCCTGAGGTCACCAGGGGCTCGGCCTTGAGGTCACAGCCGGGGGAGGCCGTGCTTGTGCTTTGGGGCTCCATGTGATGTGGTTGGTGAAAGACGCCTCCTTTGTCCGAATCCGCGCTCAGATTCCCAGAATAGCTGCCAGACCGACCCCGGCATTTAGCTGGGGTAA